GGAAAGTCCGCATCACAATAAAAACTAAATGTCTGGCTCATTGTCGTAAAAGTTGCTGTCGGTTTATTGGAGAGAATGGAATGGATTGGTATTTTTTTTCTTTTTTTTTTTTTCATTTTTATTATAAACGAAAACGAAATGTGCACCGATGGGAGGGAGCGAGGGAACTTGGGGCTTTCAATGGCCCCAAGATGCTGATGCATACCGAAAAGTCTTCAGAGCGTTTCTGAAGACATGAAACGAAGCGACAGACAAACAGATCCAGATACTCAGAATGCAAAGAAAGATTCAGAGATGCCTTTTAGCTTTTATTACATATGGTGTGTATGGATGCACCAGAGAAGAGATGGAGACGTAGCTGGAGATCGAGACGAGACATGACCTACCCCAAGGCAAAAATTATTATTGTTTTCTTCTTCTTTTTCCCCTCCATATATACCACATATATATGTATATATATATTCGCTTTCTCGCTTATATGATTTTCTCTATTATGGCTCTGGGCATCTCTGGTCTTTTCTGGGTTGGGTTTTTGCCGAAATGAAGCCGTAAAATTATATATGTACGCATGCCAATGCACACCACTCCCCTGGCTCCCCAGGCTCCCCCAGATTCCCCAGCTTCATTGTTTCAAACTGCAGTGAGCAATAAATGAGTAATACGGTAATAAAAACAAAGTTTGCTCAGCACACGACCACACAAACCTCGCTCAAGGATGAGGGCCCGAGTAATGTGTTTATCTTGGTTAGTTGGCTCATAACATGTCCTTTGTCCTTTGAACCTTTGCCTGCAATTAGTTCAATAAAGAGGATATCTCAATAGTGGCTACTACCTTAAAACTTAAAGTATTATTTGTGTAATCTATCTAGTTATTCCCTACTTAAAACCCTCAACTACCACGCATGGCTGTCGGCCATTATTTTAATGCCATCACTAACATATCTATGAATTTATCAAATAATCAGACCGTGTCTAATGCCCAGCAAGTAAGGCTTACTATGTATCAGCCATGGCGGCAAGATCGTACTCACGGATACCAAAAAGACAGACCATAAAGACAAAGGCATTAAGTTACAACCGGCAAGCGAACCAGCACAGTAGTGTATGGTAGCTACCTGCCACCCATTCCAAAACCATAATTTAATATCAGCAGCTACCTAGCTGCCTAGCTTTGTTTGTCTCAAACTTGATTTCAAAGTTAAACCAACCTTAACCAACATTTATAGACATCAGCGACACAAAAACTACAAAATACTTTTTCAGTTTTTGGCTTAAACTTGATTTTGCAGAAAAAATTCAAGCAAATGTTTTGGCTGCGAAGGTGAGGTAGGTATGGTGATAGATCCAAAGAAGCAAATCTGAGAGGTAATTAAGCAGACTCTTAAGCCACAAAGAGCCTTCAGTTGGGGGTTAAGGCTTCTACAACTATTATTCTTATAATCGACAAACCGCAGATATTAAAGATTGGTAACTATCCATCACTTGTCTTAAAAATTCTTAGCGATTTAGGCCGAAAACTTACTCCCAAACAACAGCTATCTGGAAGTACTTAACTATTCCAACGATGGTGAATTTTTAATCACTTGATTTAGCCAAGTTAGTAATCGATAAAGCAAACATTTAATAATGCATTCCATGGGTAAGGGTGTCAATTGGCTAGTTATGGGCTTCGAATAGGGCCAGTTGCTAATATTTAATGGGCTTATATCCAACAAATTAATGTGTGAGCTTCGACAAATGGCTAAAGGTTTATGTAATCCAATTGGGAATCATTTAAGGACGATATTTATTGGGAATATCCTCCGGCCACCTTGGGGCTGGGGTAATTAGCCATCCTGACAAATGAAGGATACTGAGTCGTCTGCCAACTGTCTGCTAACAAATAAGCCGGCTCGCATTACAAAATTTTATGGTTGTCGGGGACAACAAATTGCCAGCGACTGTTTAGGTAAGCAGCCTGTAATTAATATTCTGACATGCACATCTCATCGAATTTGATGGCAACGATGGATTCGATTTCATTTCGCAGATGTATATATTTTTCTCACCAATCAGCCCCCCCAAAAAAATAATAATAATACTCGTAATAAGCAAATGACATAGACGGATCGGATATCAAATGTTGTTTGCGATAAACAGCCTGGAGATGTTTGTTTGTTTGGTGAAAGGAAGGGATATCCTTTAAAAGTCATTTGTTTTCTTTCTTTTTTTCAAAAGACAAAAGTTAAAGAACTCTTAGGAGTATTTTAGACAAGAAACGACTCTGAAAAGTCAATATATTTTAGGGGAAATGCATTCGAAGCACTGAAAGGATTTTAAGAAACTTTAGCTTCAACTCTACCAACTTTATCCATAAGGTTTCTTTTTATTTTTCCTAGTGCACTTGCATATATAGAAATAAATATCTATTTTCTAGCCAGAAAGGAAAAAAACTATAAAAAATTGAAAGCAATTTGCCAAGAAGAAAGAACAAAAACTACTATGTGTGTGTAATAACAGAAGCGAAAATTATTTTTCCAACTCAGAGGGAAATCCAAAGGAAAAACGACTGCAATATCGCGCTGTCTGCATATAAATTTTGGTTTAGGGACTAGGAATGGATGGGGTTTGGGTGGTTGACAGCCGGAGGGAAAATGCGTTCACTGATAAGGATGAAAATAAAATGCGATAATTTTTTTGTTCTCTTTGAGGAAAATACTCGGGAATTTCCACAACCGAATGACAAAGTATCGGGGACCAACAACAAAGCATACATAAGTCATAAAAATAAAAGTTCCTATGGGGCGTCAACGAGACGAGCTTCCATTTCTTTCTATATTTTGTTTTTGCTCATAATATTTTTGTTGCATCCAGCCAGAAGGGAAATTTAAGAAGTGTTTACTCCCCCAACCTCGGTGGCAACGAAATCTGTTTACAAATTTGATTTGCCTGCCACGCCCAGCGCAATTAGGGCAACATTCCCACACTAGCACTAGGGATTCAAAAACAGAGGAGTAGCTATAAGATTTTCAAAGGGGGTTTTAATAAAAAATGAAGCTGTAAAACCTCCTCAAAACTGAGTTAATATTTTGGGAGTATTATTTTGTATAGTCCCCCTTTTTGAGTACACCCCTGCCTCCATCAGAGATATGGTAACACAGCCCTGTAGTCTTAGGCCCATTGATTGTTATGTAAGCGGCTTATAATTTCTTCTCGCCCAGAGCCTCTCAGCCTCTCTTTTTTTTTTTGTTGCTCGGTTGGTGGGCGTAGTCGAGTGTTGAATGTTATGTGGGTGGGTGTTCGGCTATCGGTATCGTTATCGGTGTTGCCAAATGGAAAATGCATGTTTTTCCGAGCTTAAAAAAGTAAATTATAGATGGTTAGTCCTGTGGCCTGTGAGAGAAAAAGTTTTCAATTTTTTTTTGGGAGGATTAGGCAGCAGTTAGTGGCCAGCCCTAATGGATTACTGTGGGCAAGGTCAATTAGCCAAAATAAATGACAAGAGACGGCCATTCTAGAAGGCCTTTTTAATTAAAAAAAAGTCACTCTCTACTTGCTTCTCTTTTTTTTTTTTAAGCAAATTTCATAACCCAGCCAGCTCTTCCAAAAACCAAACTCACTTTCCCGCTTATAACTGAGATTTTCACTGAATGCTTTTCACTTTTCTCCCCTTACTGACTGAAAACGAAAGTGAAGCAAACTTAACATCGGAGCCACCGTTAGAGAGACGATGGCATTGTTTTCTGAGGTGTACATGGCGGTATTAGATATTAGATAGGCCTAACCGACACATAGACCCGATGAGCTGGACTCCGACTCGGAATCAGACATGCTGATGAGCTCGAGTTTGGCCTACTTTCACTTTCATTTTCTAGTTTCGGTTGCAGCAGGCGCGTAATCGTTTTTTTTTTGTTTTTCAAGCCGGTTTTTCCAGACCCACTGACAATGAAATAAAGTTGTTTCACATTTCATGGCTGCTGCACTCCGACAGTCGAAAAAAACTAATTCATAGGCCTTCGAAATGCCACTACCACTGAGAATTAGGCATCGCATTGATGGATTCCTCATTTTTTTTGTGGCAAAAAAAATATATAAAAAGTTAGTGCACTGCACAAAAAATGAAACTCTTATTGCTCACTTTCACTTTTTTCCAATGACAATTAGTGGCAACAAAGTATCACCAGCACCGTTCAGGTTTCTCATTTTAATTGCGCCTACAAACAAAGGCTTTCCAAAAAATAATTCTGGTTTTAAAAACAAAACTAGGCAGCCAACTGTACTTGGTTTCCAAATAATTTTAATTATAGGACTGGCATGAATGAATGTTTAATTGAGGGAGAAAAGTTTTGGGTTTGGGTTTAAAATGCTATTTGGATCACTGTTTATAGCCGAGTTGCTTTCGAAATCCCCAATGGCACTTGCCGTTCGACACTAAAACCTGAGCAGGGGCGAAAATAAAAACATAAAATTCACCACACACACTCTTAAATTAAACTAATAAAAAAAAACGAGTAATAAAATCAATTTCAATCAAAATACCAGCGACTGACAAAAAAATTATAAGCAGAGACCAGCCAGGAAAAAAAAGAGCCAGCCATAAATCAAATGGCGAAATATTCGGCAAATCTTGGCAGAATTTGGAAGAAGAAATGGAAAGAGAATGCAGGAATTCTCTCAAAGAAGAGGCCTCGAGATATTTTTGTTATTGTGTATCTGCGAGATACTCTTGGACCAAGGCGTGCAATTAATGATTTCGTCAAGGCAGAGACGCCGACAGGCGTGATGTCGCAATATTCAATGAGCTTCTAATGACTGGCACACGAGTGTTATAACATTTCAGATTAAATGTCTAGCCAGACACCAATACCCGACCAGGTTTTTTTCCACTTTCAGTAAAACACAAAAACTAGACATCCCGACAGGATAGGTAAACCATTTATTTTTTGCTTAATTTATAATTATATTTTCTAGTCATTTTAATTATGTCTTAACCATATGGGTAGCTCAGTACCCCCACTTACCCTGCATTTTCGGCTGCAGCAATTGACATCTGTTGTTGGGGCTCATCTGTTAGCTGCAGCGTTAGATGTCCCCGTCGTGGTTCTTGTAGGTCGGAGCTCTCCTAGGTGGACTATACACATAAGAAAATCGTACAAATCGCAAATGAAACACTGCAAAGGGGAAAATAAAAGGAAAATTTTATTAACATTTTGTTTGTGAATCTCTCTTTTGTTCATATGTACATATATTTTATAGTATTATTTTTTAACAAAAAACGCTAGGCTTGACATAAGTTGCCGCCACTTGAAGAAAGGCCCAGAGAAAAGAGACAGAGGCCCAGAGACCAGAGACCCCGTTGGAAACAAGAAAAACTGGCAAAAGCAAACGCCAGCTGGCCACTTGAAGACTCAAGTTACAAGAAACACTTAGGGCCTAGCCGAGCCAAGCCGAGCCGAGCCCCTTTCTCCCATCATCACCATTCACATGCTGATGAAAACCCAAAAAAAAAAAAAAAAAAAGAAAATGTTGAAATCCCTAGGAAACCCAAAGACGAAATGAGTAAAAGGCGCCAAGTGTATGTCGTCTGGGCAAGGTGAAGGGGCTGAAAGAGGGTGGTGGTAGAGGTGGTGTTGCCTCCAAAACGAGGGGCCTCTTTTGTGTTGCCGCAGGCACAGTCTGAGTTTTTGGCAAGAAAGGGTTCGAATTTAAGCTTAAGAAGCATCTTCTAAGGTTTTTCTTGAATTGGTTTTTAGAATATAATTTATAATAAAATGTTATTTGATATTTTTCAAGATACTTCAAGTATCTTTCTTAAGCTTCTTGTGAGCAAAACAACATTATCTCCCATAAGCTTCATAATCCTTCGATTCTGCACAAATTAAAGTTTCATTTTCCGCCCCACCCATCATTGTTGATTTTCTTTGGTTGGGCCAACGTGTCGTATACTCAACGCGTCAGCCACCACCCAGAAAAAAAGAGTTTTCCACACGCATGGAGCATTCTTATACATACATACTTATATGATATGCAAGTGTTTGTGGCATGAAGAGAATGCTTTATTGTATTTGCTTTTTAAACATCAACAACATTTTGCTGTTGCCACACGATGATGTTTTCGCTACAGAGATACTCTGCTGCCACTCGCACAGATACTTGTAGGCAGGGCCGTAGCTAGAGCCTCGGAGGCCCTGGGGCAACAAGTAAATTTGGGGCCCCCTATACGGAAGTCTTTTGGCCCGGCGGGGCCCCTTCCCTTCGGGGGCCCTGGGGCACCGCCCCACCTGCCCCATGCTAGCTACGGCCCTGCTTGTAGGCTTGTGCTAGTGTGTGTGTGTTTGCGACTGCATTGCGTTTTTCTCATTGTTTTGGTACCCCGTACCGCCCAGAGCTCACCTCCCTAGTCCAGGAACTTGTTTTATATAATTTCCTGTACGCGTGGCACAAAAGCAGAAGCCCAAGCCAGAGAACATAATCTACCCGTCTTGTTCTCGCATTATTCATACCCATACTGATACTCATACCATATACATATACATATATCTCCATAAAATCCCATCGGCTGCCATCTCCCTCACTCTGTCCATTCTTTTGTCATGCATTTCTGCTGATAATAATAATGCACTTCGTTGCTATTGCTGTTCTTGTCGTTGTTTATAATTGTTGCTTTGTGCGAGCTTAGCAGATGCATAGATACAGATACACATGTATCTCGATACGTCATGCGACATCTGAGAGGACAATGGATCTTTTTTTAAATACTTTTCTATCGTTTCTTCCAGTCTGTTTAACTTTTGATTGATTAAAAGTCCATCTTTAATATGAATTTTCACAAAACTATGCTAATTGAGCGAGTGAAACAGCTATATTGTTGTAGAGTCATTGTTGTTGTAGTCTCTTTCTCCGCTTGAAATAGTTTCAACATGTCTCGACAAGTCTCGGGTTCGAAACGAAGGAAAACAATCCATTTTTTTTTTTGTTTATTTTATTGTCGCGGCGCGTTGTGGATATTTTTGTTTGTGGATTGGATTGGATTTTTATTTTTATCAGACCCAGACCCAGACAAGGACAACAGCTAGGTGTGAGTAGGAAGGAAAGCAAAGGCCTTAAGAACAAACGTAAACAAGAGAGAAAAAAATGCATTTGTGATAATGGTTAGTATTTCCTTTTTTTTCTTCCTTATCTTTCCTTTTTTTTCTGTACATTTATTTATAGCTTGTAAATTTTGTAAGTAAACAGTTTGTACAATATATTTATTTGTATTTCCGCAACTGTCAGCAGAGAGAGAGAACGATCTCCACTCAGAAACTAACAAATTAGCCCCATTACAAAACCAGCTTAGAACCATGCTGAAGCGGCGACGAGACTTGGCCAAGACGGCGATGACAACGGCGAGGCAACTTAATACGCGGGTTATGCAACACACAAAAGAAGCGAAGCTGTTGCACAAAGCAAGCGGCAGAGACCCAAGAGAGCCGCCCGCCTCTCTACCTGGAAACGTAATGGAAGAGCCAACCGGTTTATGGCCCAAACCGAAAAACCGACAGAAAAAGATACTTCATTTCGCATGGCCAGGAGATTCTGCACATTTTACCGTTAACATAATGGCTAAATCACCGTTTAGAAAACCGCCAAGAAGATGATGATGATGTAGGTGGTATGGTGCGGTGGGGGGTATTCGAGCGGTTCAAGATTTCAAAAGAATTCTCCTCGCTTCTTCGTTCTTGCCAATTTTTCTTCATTTCTTGGAGCGTTTTTCTGTCTTTTTTTTCGTATATTGCAAAAAAAACGTAATTACAGTCGTTGGTTATATTTTTCTTCCCAGACGTGCATAGAATTAAATTAAATTAAAACCCAGAGCCACAACACTTTGGCAATAGTTGTCTTAAAAAAAAGCACACTCTTAAAAATAAAGTATTTATTATATTAAAAGCTAAAGAAAGCCTACACCCCCTAAAGACATAACTCTTATCTCTTCGTAACTGCAACTTCACAAATATTACGTGACAGTTTTTTCAACAATTTCCGATTCAGAAATAAATTATCCAAAATTTCCAAATTATTTATTAAAGTTAAAGCGGAAAAGACTTGTACCGTAAATTATTTGAGAATTCGGAGAAGGCAGTTGATTAATTGTGACTTTAAAGTGAAATATTTATATATTTTAGTTAAAAAATGTTCCCAAGCTTTCAATAAACTGTAAAGAGCTGGGAAAAAATCGATTTTTAATAAAACGATGCCTTCTCAAAAAATTTAAGGAAAATTAAAATCGAAATTTCCATAATATTCCATAATTAAGATTGTGATTTGAGGCTTCAAATATTTAAACTTAGAGATGTATCATAAAAAATTCAGAAATATAAACAAACACAAACCAACCTTTTCGATGAAATCGATTAAATCGATAAAATTAAAACCGATATATCGGTGGTAAACCTTTTTTGAAGAAATAGATACTCAAAATTAAAATCGATTTATTGGTGGAGCAACTTTTGCGATTAAATCGATTCTTAAAATTAAAATAGATGTATCTCTTAATTGGAAAAAATCAATTTAATTTCCAACTCTTATAAGTAATTTGATGACTAAATTATTTCACTTTATTTCAAAGCCCGAAAGCCCTGAAAGATAAGCCAAAACTTCCTTCAAATTCCATTTGTTAACAACTTGTTTCTTTCCGCAAAGCGTGCTGTGCAAAAAAACCATTTTTCTTCATAATGAGGTCAGTTTAAAATACATAAACTCATTATTCGGTTTATTTTTTCTGTTTTTTTGGCATTTTGTGTGGTGTGTGCTTTCGGGTATAATGTGTACTGAGCACACAAACCGTAAAAAAAAACATATTCGGCGTAAAAATTGTTTTATTGTCGCGTACGCAAGAAAACGTACAAAAATGTGTGGCCCAAATAAGGAGTACGAGTACAGCAAAAAAAAAAATAGCACTGACACATTAATATTGTTAAGTAAATAGAGAAATTTACGAAAATTGAATCAACAAACAAGTTGTAGAGATAACTTTTATAAGAAAGCACAGATCCAAAACTTTATCTAGCCAGCCTTAAACCATTATTTAATTTTATTAGCCCTCTGTAAGCCTTTTGAACATCGAGTGCATAATAATAGCTTTGAGACTTCAAACAGTGCGACCCCCTCGGCAAGTACTTCCGCCCATTGCAACGCTATCAAAACCCATGGACTGTAAAGTAATGGTCTCATAGGGGCTCTATATACATAAAACCCCAACTATCGGCCACCGAGGCACATGCTTTGCATATCTGGGGGGAGGAGTGAGAGCTGGGTTAGTACTGTTAGTCCCTCCCGCAGAGCCTTTTCATGGATACATAGATAGCAACAAGTGGCCAAAAAAAAAACAGAAAAATCCATGCCGTATGCTCGGGTTTACGTGCCTGGAATTAGCCATTTAAAGTATCGTTAACGGGGCTCACCCCGCAGCTGTTTAAATGCCACTGATAAGCCACGAAAACATATATGTTTGGGTTTCATTTTTTTGGATCGACATGAGTTTGAGATTAACTATACAGCACTTGGCCAAATGTTCGCTCAGGTTGAACAAATACAAATGATGGATTTACCCACTGGGTAGCTGATCTTCAAGAATTTGGGTTAACTTGGCAACAAATCAATATGGTTAGGTCCCAGACATTGGGTTGTATATTGGCCAAAAACGATGAAGACTAACTGCTTATTAGCATGCAAGCCGAATAGCTTCAAGAATCATTAGCCAGCGGAAAGAACTAAAGGAAGACTGGCAACCGACTGGCAAAGTGCTCTTAAAATGAAGAAAATGTTGGGGTTTAGGGGAAAAAAGAAGTACTATTTAAAGGGTATTCCAAATCCCATGGGAGTCGTACTTAATACTTTCCATATCATTGTCATTAGAAGTCACACAAAGAACCAAACCCGAAACTCACAAAAAATGAGTGCCCGGAAGCGTTTCAGTTTCATGGTGGCAAGTGTTCCGCCTAAGGCCCCCCTTCGAGATAATAATAATAACAACCGGCGAAGCAAAACGGACACAGATTCTACTGTTTGTGCGTTTTCTTGTCAATCAATTCATTAATCACTCTGCCTCTGAGTTTCTGCCTTTTTTTTGTTCTACCCAGAAAGCCTCCACCGTTTATATCGCAGTCTTCTGCTTCATTTGTGGCCCGAA